GTACTTTTATAAAAGACCAGAAACCTTTTATGGACTTTTTGCTGAAAATGGAAAAAAGTGATTTGTGAATTTGCTGATTGAAAAAGGAGTTGAATATGGGACAGAAGGGGTCTTTGTAATGTAATCTGAATGAGGAAGGAGGGATAATAACTTTATTTGTAACTGCTGCAAAGAAGATTGGAAGTCACTTCTTTAATTATCTTTTTTCTTTCTTTCTTTAACTATATTGCTTTCTTCACTTTTTCTTTTATCTTTTTTTCCTTCTAACTTTTCCTTACATCTTTTCATGTTTACCTTTTATCTATCTAAAATTTTTCAATACAAATGATAAAAAAACTGTTTATCATTTGTGTAACAGTTTGTAAATTGTTATTAATTTGTAATAACAATTAACACAGCATATACAGATATCGACAGTTATTGATATATATTCATTTTCTTATTTTAAAAGGTACATCAACATTACTCTGTTCTTATTTAACAAATGAATAATGCAATTGCCAAAAGAACCCCTAGAATTTTGCTTTTCTTTTCTTTTATATATCCTGGTTGCTGTGAAGTGCTTTGGGTTTGATTCCAAAGGGGTGCTTGGGGGCTGCATGTAACACCTGCCTACAGCTTCGAAAAGCAGCTGCATCTTTTCCAGGAATTCAACAGCAGTTGCAGAGTGCCAGCAGATAATCCTGGAAGAAAATGCAGCTGCTTTGAAGGAACAAAAGCTCCACAGCCTCTTTTTGGAATTGAATCTGAAGAGTTGGATGTCCTTACTGGCTGTCTCCTTTTTCTTTCCTTCTCTTCATTTTCCTGCTCAGCTGTTCAACAGCGTCTCTACCATCCTCTCAAAAGTTCCCTTAGATTTCTCCCTGCCTGCATGCTTTATAAGGAAGTGCCCAGTTACTCCTTATGTGGATTCTCCCAATGTGACAATCTGTGGTTCATCACATAGTGCTCTCTCCTCTTCAAACATAGCGCTATTGTCCCTCCACAATACAGGGAGCCTTTAAAAAAATTGTTTCCTATCAGCAATTGCATTTTTCTTTTCAGGTGTGTAAGGTCTTTTAATGCATAGCTGCTTTTCTTGTTGTCTTTCTTAACATCTTCCAGTGTTGTGCAATTTCATTTCCATAGCATCGCCATCACTGCTTGATGGTTTAGGTTTCTGGTTTAGGTTTCTTTGTCTCCATATTGAATTACTTCTTCTGGTTTTCTTCTTTTTTTCCTAACCAGATGAAAAATGTTGATCACTTTATAAGCTGTTTGTCAAACTGAGATTGTTGAAATTATTTTGAGTTCCCTGTGAAGGTCCCTAATCAGAATTGTTTACTTAGGACAATGAAGACTATGAGGAAGATAGGCTGATTTTCATGATCCTCAGTGCACTTTAGGAGTCATTAGAGAAATCTTGATTGAAGAAGCATTATCTTACTTTCCAGGTGTTGGTTGGCTATAGGCCTGTGTGCTATATTCTTTGCATCTAGGTGGTGGAGCAGGAAAGCAGTATGGCATCTCCAAGTTACTTAGAGAGCAAGCAGCTCTTGGTCTGGTTTCTGTTTCAAGTTCGAGATGGAAAATTGTTTGCTACCTTGTAGTTGGAAGGGAAACAGGGTAATTTGACTGTGTTGATTCTCCTGCATCTCTTAGCAGTTTCCAGCATTACTTGCATGGTATCCCTCCAGACTGCTCATGCGGCTTGAGAATAGGAGAATTGGCCTTTCAAGGATTGCATTTAGAGTTTATGGTTGTTCTGCGGGAATCAAGCTCTTTATGAGCATGATAATATGGAGATCCTCAAGATTCTCATACTTCTTACTATCTCTGTGAGAGCATTGGACATTGTTCAAGCTAAGGAGCGCAGTGTCACCCACATGTCACCATTAAACCTTTGACACACAACACCCAGTTTTGAACGTGTCACTTTTGAATACTGCTAATACAGCTGTGCCCTCTAAAGAGAAATCTTGAGAGAAGTATATATTCTGGTTTACAGAATACTTACAGGCATGGGAAATTCAAATGTTGTCTTTACCATAGCTTGGGAAGAACATGGCATCCCTTGTTGGAATGCTCTGCCTGGTGTAAGAGCATTATGCCTATTTCCAGGGGCTTGTCCTGAGCTTGCATTTCTGGAATGTAGCTTGTGGCATGCCATAAACACTTTTAGCATCTCTGGGAGTTTTAAGAATAATTTATAAAATAGTATGGGAAGACTGCAGCTGTTTAAAGACAGTCCAGGGAGGAGGGATTCCACTGCCTGTATGCCTGGGTATGCTTAAAGCAGCTGTTTGAATGAGCTCTTACGCTACTACTTCTCACCTGCTTCCTTGAGTCAAGATAGCAGATTAGCCACAAGGGAAACTTTGTAGGCTCTGGAATAGAGAATAGCTGAAGAGTAATCTACACTTTCAAAACAGGCTGTCCAGAGCTGTTTCACTGAACTCCACTTTACAGTCACATATAGATGATCAACTCTTATTTCATTTGGATGCAGCAAAGCAACCTGGAGACCTGCATTAAACCGCTCCTGAGAACTTGGTTTGAGGATTTGGTGTGCCCTATTCAGAGGATGGTGAAGCTTTTCCAGGAGAAACTTGCCTTTGTGCTACATGCTGTGAGTACCATACAAGTTCACTCCTCTTGAATCTCTGTTTTGGTTCAGTTTGGGTTTCTTGTTGAACTATTTGTCTTGTTTATTAATAGCTTTAGCTGCAACTGTTGTGGAAGGCAAAGTACGTACAATAGTCTTTCACTGCTTCCAAACAAGCTTTAATTGTGCAATGGTCCTGCCTCTTTCCTGGAATTTTACAGGGGGCCTAGGTGACATGATACTCTAGTTGCTGCCCTCCCATATTTCTTTCTTTACCTTCAGGAAAGAAATGCGACATAGCTGTAGAGCTATACTGCGAGGAGCTGTCTGCAAGAAGTGCTAGTTGCTTAAACAATTGATCAGAACTAAGATTTTGACAGCTTTAATAAGATGATAACATCACCTCTGTTTTAAGGAGCACTAGCTTTAAGTTGTACATATAATCCATTTCAAAATTGGGCCAGCAGTTCAGAAACAGGGATTTCCTTTACTGCAGCTGGAGTTTATTTATGTTTTTAAGCATATAAAGTCAATTATGTTTAGACAGGGCCCTTAGCTCAAAGCGTTTGAAAAGCAGTTTCTCTGCAGATATGAGAGAGAGAGTAAAATGGGTAGCATGCTAAAAATAAGGTCGTCTTTGAATAGAGCTTGACTCTTCTTGACTTCATGGATAGCAGAGTAATTTACCTTTTTTTCTTCTTTGCCTTTGAGTCAGTGTTGACTCCTGCTGACTGCCTGGACAAGTCCCTGCAGTTTTCTTGGCAAGATTTCGGAAATGGTTTGTCCTTGCCTGCTTCCCAGGGCTGAGAG